CATTTGAGCATTAAAGGAAATGCTAAATAGGGAATAATTTCAAAGTAGATACGATTATTTACGAATTTATTACCTTGTTCGTATGTTTACATTGCTTAATTTGTCACGAGAACCAAGACAAATTGCAAGCTACTGAGATTATGTTGCCAAGACTACGCAGAAAAAAGTATACTAGTAATTAAGTGGCACAATACTAGAGGGCGCACCGCAGTTGTACGTGCTAAATGATCACGTTTTAAAATTAATTAAAATTTGATTAGCAATTAAAACGGCGGACGGCATGTGTCTGTATTTTCAAGTAATGATTGTATGGCATTTAATCACTCCTGTGTTTGCGACTCGTCGCTTTACGAGGACTTAATTGTCTCCCACGGCACGGGATCAATTTTTTTCGTCGTCTGAAATACTGAGTACGTGAATTGTACTGTATTTGACCGTGTGCGAAAAATAACAAGGGCATACAAATGTATTCACGTGCACTATATCTGATCACGTTGAACGTCGGTTAAACACGGAAAACATAGCGCTACTTCACGCAGCTTATACAGTAAAAACAGGAACTACGGCTCAGAAAGGTAACCTACTCCAATTTGCTTTCATTTCCCACAACACGAGAATCAGATACTGTTAGTCGGCTTTTAAGCTGTTTAGTTATTTCGCTCGAGTAATTTTATACTTGAATCTCAAGTTCTTCCACTATTATAGGATTCATTGTCAAAAGCAGCTGTAATCGGCAGAGAATTTAAACACTGGCTATTTTGTTCGCGTTAGCTTTGTTGGAAAAACGCGTGTTCGGGTGTTATCTCCAATGTGTACAGAGTTTATGTGACTCGGTCAGTTTTTAATACAGTCCGTGGAAAGTGTTTATTGAATTATCAATCGTTGCACCCACAAATGTTTCAGACGTGCTACAACTGAACAAGTGGGCTTTATCGATTTTTTTTCAGTGAGCATCCATGCGTCAATCTCCGTGAGATACATCCAAGGTTAGGTACAACACATACGTCATTGGATCGCTGTGCAAATCGATTTGATTCTCTTAAATCGCTGACACTGGGCGTATTCGCAAAATGTCCGTTTATGTTAGTTCGATGTGTGATAATTGGAGTTATACATTCAACCAACAAACCTTCCTCTATAGACGAATGTTATTACCCACGAAATGAATAAATGAAAGATATTCAATCAAAGAATACGGATATCCAATTGCACCATTTGCGAAGCATTTTCTGGGGCGTTATAAAATCTGAAACCGCTCAATTCATGCGTAGAGTCAGCTCCTGTGTTTCAATATCTAAAACACCTGATCTACCCAACAAATTATTCGTAGGATTTTGCTGATGGGTGTACTTTATGGAAATCAGTACACGAAACACCACACCAGCTTCGTCAAGTATATCTTATTCGTCCAATAAAATATACATAGTTGAGTGAAAATAATACCGCACATACTGAATGATTAATGTATCGATGTGTGTTTCGTGTTGTACCACGTACATCCAATAGAATTAAACAGCGATTTGACGGCTCCGGGCTATACTACGTTCATGCATCGTATGCGCATGCTTAATGTAACCAAGAAAATATCACAGTGTCGCCAGTATGCAATCCTCTCCCGCCCCTCCTGTAATATGTCACGTCATCCAGTCTTCTCACCAAACTGACAAGTACAAAAAAGTCAATAAAAGAGCAATTTGATTCGAAATTGGAAAGTTGTTCGCCGACAAATAAACGGGCGATAGATAACATTAGTTTATACTGCGTTCTTGTTAATAATAACAACGCGTTAAATCATGTGACAAATTAAACTTAGCCACAGTTATATCGACTATTAGCTGTCCCTGAATTGAATTCATGCGTCGAATAAGCCGTATTCAGACAACTGCGGTTAAATAGAGAATATTCAAATAATAACGCTTGTTCATGAGGGCAATGTCACGTTTTATTGCCTGCCCAAGGGATGGTCGTATAATATTGATGATGCCAGAGTCGAAAGCAAGTAACACATTACTCAATAGCATATATACATGATTGTTTGCTGAAAAAATTTTTAAAAGAAATTCGAAATACATGTTATTTGACCACTCGCCAGATAAAAATGTCAAAGTGCAGTGGAAATGACTGCAATGGCTATCTCACGAACGTTCTATTCACAGCTCCCTTTGTCATACATACACAACTACTTTGTTAGTACAGTAAGTTTAGTTTATCTCCATGCGAATATTGTGTTAACCATCACACTTATATGACGATTATTAATTGTAAAGCGACCGTATTAAATAGATTGTAAGTTCACAGTGTGTGATCAATAAATATGCATTGATTAGAGTTCTAATATGTGAATTGCTGCAGCAATAGAATCAATAGTGGCGGATAGATTATGTTAACCAATTGCGTGTCCTTCAATTTCTTCTTATGTTTACACTCGAATAAATAAACAGAAAGTTTTGAATGATTCCATAATAAATATCTGATCGGGACAATAATGTATGCCATGTTTATGCTTTATTCTTCGAGATAAGTATCATGGTAATCGGCTCGCGACAGTGACGGTTCATTATAGGAATCACGACGAATTTACGGGTCGTAACGAAGACATGCATGATTTCCTTTGGGACGTACTATAAATCAGCGTACTGTATACGGTGCTCGGTCCGCGCCGGAGTGAGCGTCGGTTGTTGTTCGCGGCGGTTCAATTACTGGCATCCAAGGAATCCCAGCATGCTAATATATTGCATGAAGTGAGTTTGACATTTAATTCGCCAAATCTTTCATTCTGTACAATTTTTCTTTCAGACCGAGACACCGCCCACGCTATTGCAACTGGCAGCATCCATCCATCAGCAGTGTGCAGCCATTTTGGATTTTCTAGCTTATCACGAGTGGTTTCATTTTAACGTGATCACCAGCAACGCACCAGGTCACGTGGACTTCCTCCACGAACTGGAGCTGCAGATCAAGCAGCTGAAGAGCTACTATTACCAGTGGCAGATCGCCAAATCGGTGGTCGTCGACGTTTCGGCGAATGTGTATCTTCCAATGCAAGAACTGTCCTACAGCAATACCTCCGTACATATTTTATATTCCACTAGAGAGGAGGCAAGGACTCTTTTCAAATATGCAAAATCCTTCAACTACCTCGATAAGGGATACGTATGGATAGCCGCGGAACTGGCAATGGGAAGCATGGAGAGTCTGCGGAGAGCGCCCTCAGAGTTCCCACCTGGATTAATAGCAGTAAAATTCCAATCGCTAGCGTATAATTTCGAGGAAAGAACAGTCGACGCAGTTTCATTATACAAAGAAACATTCGTTAAATTTTCAAAAAGCAGGTCATTTTCATATGACAGTAAAAAAAGAAACTGTAATAATCCAAACGTTAGCGATACGGACTTCTATGACATTTTAAAAAATATTTCCGTGCCGGGGAGAAGCAGTTTTGCATTTACAGACTCGGGATTCGTCCAGAATCCTCGAATAATTTTTGCTAGCCTCAATGAAAATCATATTTGGAAAAAGGTAACTATAACCTTTATTAGTTTTAATATTGTATGGTGGCTAGTACTGAATTGAAATAGAATTAGAAATGGACATCATAAACTCCGAGCCGGAAATTGACGCTATTTCAAGTCACGTGAAAGTTGTATATAAATACAAGCGACTAGTTGCCAACTAAAAAAAATGTTATTGTTTCCAGGTCGGAATGTGGAAAAACGGTACTGTCGATGTTGGAGAAATTGAATGGATGGGTAATCCTGAGCTTTCACCGACGGGGTTCACCCATCGGAAACACCTCCGCATCGTCACCATAGTAGAGGAACCCTTCGTCACGATAGTGCCTTATGAACAAGTCAATGTCACATGCCAGGCTGGCATTGCATGTTCAAGACTGGATGGAACAACGGGGTTGGTAAATATTATTAATCTATCACCCTTATGGACACGGGTCTGAGAAATTAGTATAATGCTTATGGCTATTACTGCTATTTGGTTCGAGACGAGCGACAACGTGCCTCAATAGGTCCTACTTTTAAGTAACAACAAGTAATCACGGTTATTTGCGATTTCTAATAGCCTCTATTTGGAACTGTATAGGCCCAATTTATTACGCCAATTTAGGGTCAGGCACGCTCTTGGCAATTTCTTCCGACATCAAAAAAAATAAATAAATAAATAAATAAATAAATTAAAAAAAATGTAACGTTAAGATGTATTGAATGATTCAGCGTTTCAATGACCTCCGATGATGACAACATATAAACCTTATAAAATACAGATCGCGTGAAATACGACTGACGGAAATGGCGCATAATTTGAGTAGTAATAATCGCTTGATGTGTAACTCTCGTAACCGCTAATTCCGTTGAATCATCTTGTAATGATATGCAGTCTCCATGTGTTTATGACAGGATTTACCGAGCGTAACGGTGGGGTGGGGGTCAAACATACCGACGTACGGCGGGTGTATCTACAATATATTTCATCATGTTCACAAGAGCTTAACGAATACGTGCATTCAACGACGATCCCACGAGATTATACATAAAGATAGAAAATTACGTGCTCTTCATTCATGCAATGCAAATTTGTGAAATGACCCACTGGGCGATTTTCAAGCGATTCAGAATTGAATTGCTGGTTACGTAGATTTCAAGTTGTCACACCATATTCGATTTCAGCTCCTTTTCTGACACATTATTCGGGGTCATAACAACTCGAATTTTCATGAAACACTGGATATTCATGTCGAAGCATCACGAAGGTATCCTACAACAACATACGTTTTACAGTGACTCCCCTCGTTGATTTCCCCAAGTTAAATAACAAATCCAAGTTGCATTTTCGTGGGAGTATCATGATCAAAGTACTGAAGTCTCACGCAGATGAGAAACAAGGTTATACATGGAATACAATTTTATTTCATTTCTTCTCTCCGATCAATGATCTCACTTACAATTCTTTGAGAATCACACAAATCTAATGGAAAAAAAATAATAAATTTTATTTTTTTCCGCCCTCCTCAAAAAAATTGTCTTATAAAAACTCGCGAAACAAGGAATAAAAAAAGTCTGGCCTTAAAGGGAGACTGAATGCAAAGGTGGTGGTCGTCCCGCCGCGTCCTGTTCGATATGGGACTCATAGCGACGTACACGACGCGTGTAAAATACATTTACATGAAATTCGAACACGCACTGCGAGACGACCGCCGCTCTTTGAAGAGCCGTTGTCGACGCGCAGCGTGCGTTCAAAAACCCATGTATGTTTACACGCGTTACACGTCTTGATAGGTCCCCACTTCGACCATAACACTGCGCGATAAATATCGGAAAGCGCCATTTTGTTCTTGAAACTCTCCGACTTTGCCACATATTGCATGACGAACTGAATAATAAATGTAAAGTACAGATGGTCATGAAAACGAGCATACAAACATTGGTTAATGTGGCCGTATATTAATAGTCTATACTTCATTAAACCGATACAATTTGTTCATCCGTCATTATTTTGACGATGGCTACATACCAGTAATAACTAAACCGTGTGACGTAATAGGCAAAGATGACGTCATGGTGTGGACATTGACATAAAATCAAACTCGCAGGGAAAGTCTGGCGGAAAATCTTATTACAAAATACATATATTTTTGTTCGCGGAGACGAACGTTTAAAACGCCAGAGTCGACGCGCAGCGCGTGTTCAGATTCAAGTAAACAAACAATGTACACCTGATGCATGCGACATCGCATGGGACCCATATGTAACACGACGCGGCGCGATGAATGTGACTTTTTACGCTGTCGCTAATAACGTAACCCGTTTCTTTAACAAAATATCATAACATAAGAACATCATTTGCGCATTTAGATACCGTATGTCGAATAGAACGTACAATATAAATCGGACCAGAGGGAGTTACAAAGTAGAGATAAAATACGAGTTAAACGAATCTCCAAAGTACAATTTACACTAGTTATTTTTATCCGCCATACACACGGCGTGCTCGCTATCTCACTGTGGCATCTATGTAAACGTGACATGATTTTTCACTCTTATCCTTCGTTACAAAAAATATTCCAACTTGCGAGTGTTATGTGAACGGTGTAGTGTTTCTAGCCTCATTTGGGATGTCTGACATAGTCTTTCCGTGTGCGCATGCGCAATATGCCGTGTATTCCTTACGAATATTAAAGGCACTTGACAGCAATGATATAACGGGGAAAATATTTCAACTAAAACAATAAGAAATTGTGCGTGTCTTCACTCAACCCCCGCCAGAGAGGGCGCGCAGTCTGAAAATCAGTAAAATGCAATAAAATAATGAGGATAATCACGGGATTGATTTTTTCCGCTTGAATGGATTTAGAGAGAATCGGGGAATCAGTCGCTGGATATTTATTTTGGGGGTTTCCAGGTAGTTGAGGTGATAATTTATTTCCTAAATTATTCTAATTTCAGAAGAGTTGGCGCCTCTTTTATAATAATGCCATACATGGCAATGCCATTGTACAATGTGGCGTCCAACTTTATACATGACTATACATTTATACAAATCATCCCCCCCCGTATATTATAAATGATTTATATGCGGCGACATAATTATTCGTATTATTTTATTTTTGTTATCAAATGAAAACATAATATATTATATTGATTTATTCCGCTCTTATTTTCGCAAACTGGTCCATTTGTCTTAACCTGCCGCCAGTGTATTGGCGAAATGAATATTGCATGCACTTCACGACAATCAGGCAATTGAAACCGGTCACCGTTTGATGTGTATTTCATGATTCAAAATTAGAATCGCGTTTCATGGAGTGAAGAATAATATAAAACATGTATTCGCGGTATAGCAGACGATAATGATGACACGTGACATCTCCGGGGTAATAATCAACAATTCCACTACATTGCGTGTACGTCACACTTTGGTGGATCGGGTATAGGTAACAAAGATGTTCATCGTACAAACTGTTGCAATTTCCAGTGTGTGTGTGGGCTGGAGGGGGGGGGGTATTTTAGTAATTCCTCGAGTGCATGCCAAGATTCCTTTTTCACTATATTGAGGACAGGGGAACATTTTAAAATGATCTTTTCATTATCGTGAGGACAGGGGATTTAATATCTTACGGATAGGGGCTTTGTTGTATTTTGAGAGGATCCCGGGTGGATTTTCCCAAGAATTGTATCAAGGAAATGTGTTATTATAATACCGTTCATACAAATGATATCTCGGTCGGAGAAAAAGTCCACTAACATAAATATGACAGTTGTTACATTGATGAAACCAAATATTATTAAATAATCATTCACGTATAATATTTATTTGCAAGTATAAAATATTGAACGCTTAGAACTGTATGGTTTTACAGATCTCGTTTCCTAATATTTAAAAATTGATTTATTCCTGGCGTGCAGGAAACGTTTCCCCCGTTTCGGCGAGGAGTCAAATTTCCGACTGTCTCGTTAAATACACGACTTGTGCATTTCCTATGTTTTTTTTTCAAGTTCATTTTTATAGATTCAATTTTCCAATTTCTCGCAATCAACCAACAATCTTGTCGTGGTAAAATTGTGTGAACATATCTTCGTGAAATGTAACTAATCCAGAGTGTAAATATCGGTAACCCATCGGTATTTTTTTGATATTTGAAATGAACGAACGAGACTTGAAAGAATGTTCTGCCATTTTGTATAATCGTAGTATCGCATTTGTTTTGGTACATTTTGTATAGCGTGGAACATATGGAACTAGTATAGTGTTTTGTGTCCATATCTTTCAAATTATGACAAAGAGACTTTTTTTCAAACCCTTATCTAAATGTTATTCTGTGATGAAAATGTCTGAAAATATGAAACCAGTCACCGTTTGATGTTTATTTCATTATCCAAAAACCTAAAATGGTGGTTATTTACGACGCAACTTCCATTTTTGTTTCAATTGCGAATTTCGAATGTGTTATTACTGACATAGAGTGGGTTGTGATGTCAATATATCGAACATGGAAGTCAAAAAATACTAACAGGGACTATGCATCATCGTCATCTTTTGGCTTGACTTTCAGTGAGGTGATTACGGAATGCTGTTCCGGTTACTGTATGGATCTATTGAAAATGATAAGTCGAGATCTGGGTTTTACCTACGACATCTACATCGTTGAAGACAACCTATACGGAGTAGTCTTCGATAACGGTAGCTGGAACGGTATCGTTAAAGATCTGATCGAGGGTAAGGCTGACGCCGCTGTGGCTGCAGTGAAGATGTCGACAGAGCGATACAAAGTCATTGATTTCTCTGTCCCATTCATGGACGTTGGTGTCGCTGTACTAGTACCGAAATCGTCGGGCGTTGTGTTGCCGCACGCATTTTTAGGTATGGTTAAAATTACTTTTGACGACCACCTTTCCTATATATGTCGCGTCACCAAGCGACGAAGCGTTTCTGTGACGTAAATGGGTGTAAGGTGTTCCGCTGAGGGCGTCTGTCAATTCATAAATAAATGTTTTGCAGGAATTTTAAATATTCTAAACGACGAACGACTACACAACGAAACAGATATTCAGTTGTTTACACCCGTCTACATCATTTCGATTTATGAAGCGCTCCGTCGTTGGAGGGCATGACATGTAAGGTAAGGTACAATGTGTACTATACCAGGGTGCATTTTTGCACGATTTGCATCACGGTGGTTATGGTTAGTTTGAAGTCAATTGACGTCATCAACGCTATATTGGCACTTTCTTTAAACTTTTCAAAATGACAAAAAAAAATATGAATGATAAATCACTCGAAAATTGCATAAAATTCAATTATCCAAATATTGCATGACGCTAGCTGGAAATGGCATATTTATTTTAGACGTTTGACAATTCGAAGGGCTGCTTTATCGTCTGTCCGCCATTTCTAATCCCGATAATCCAGTCCAGAGCGTTATGGTGGCCGAGATCAAATTTAATCGCACATACAATCACGATCGCTACAATCGCGCCCGGTTTCCTGATTCGGATAATTTACGATGAAATATGGTGAAATACGGTGATATATAGGTGATATATATATATATTATATGGTGATATATAGGTTCTATATATATATATATATATATATATAGGTTCTAAAATAGCAAAAACAACCTGGGATCACGGAGTTGTTTCCATGAATTGAAAATGCAATTTATTTTATACCCATGTTGCCAAATTAAATTTTCGAAGTGTAATATATAAGTTGTAAACATACTAGTACTTGTAGTATAAATCCGATCAAGTGTGAAAGGTCACTCCGTCTTAATTGCACCCATAGGATGCAGGATTTACAAAATTACGAATCTCTAATAAATGTTTCACGTTATTGTTTCTTCTAATTTTTCAATGCAGCTCCGTTTGACATCGCTATTTGGGTGATCGTTCTTGTCGTTACGCTGAATGTGGCCGCTGTATCTGTCTTCGTTTTCGAGTTTGTCAGTCCGACTGGATATAACAGAAAGATAGCGGGATTAAAAGGTAATATGCCCTCTTGTGACAACTTCTGTACGTAACTGAAAGAGTTTCCCCTCACTACAGGTGAGATGGTACTCGCATTTCGCGTGGTAATCGTTCGAAGGGCTAAATTCTGGCTGTGTCTGGTGTGCTGGTGTGGATATACACAATTACTAGTACCTTCTTGATGGCGATGCGCCTCTTTGTAGAAGTCACGCTCAAGTGCTTCTGTGTCATCAATTTGAGGTTGACGGATCGATGTCGTTC